CGAGCGGCGGCTGCTGCTGCAAGCTCGGCGGCGGCAGCTGCTGCAGGTCGAGCGGCGGCTGCTGCTGCAGGCTCGGCGGCGGTAGTTGCTGCAGGTCGGCGGCGGCTGCTGCTGCAGGCTCGGCGGCGGCAGCTGCTGCAGGGTCGGTGGCGGCTGCAGCTGCAGGCGCGGCGGCGGCAGCTGCTGCAGGTCGAGCGGCGGCTGCTGCTGCAGGCTCGGCGGCGGCAGCTGCCGCAGGTTGGCGGCGGCTGCTGCTGCAGGCTCGGCGGCGGCAGCTGCTGCAGGTCGGCGGCGGCTGCTGCTGCAGGTTCGGTAGCGGCAGCTGCTGCAGACGAAGTCGAAGCCGCGAAGGGGCGGCTGAGGGATTGCGACGGGCGGCTAAGGGGCCGCGATGCGTGGGTAAGGAGCCGCGACGGCGGCTGAAAGGGCCGCCACGAGCGGGTAGGGAGGTGACGACGCCACGGGAAAGGCGACGCGGCGGGCGGCGAGAGCCTGCAGCGGCGGGCAGCTCGCGGGCAGTGCGCGGAGCCGCACAAGGCTGCGACGGGTCGCGTGACAAACCCTAAGCCGCGCGCGGGCGGCTAGCTGGTCGCGCGCACGAAGAATCGGCCGCGCGCGGGCGGCTAGCGAGGCGCGCGCGCGAAAAATCGGCCGCGCACGGGCGGCTAGCGAGTCGCGCGCGTTAAAAACGAGCCGCGCGCGGGTGGCTAGCGGGCTGCGTGCGCGCGGTAGGTAGAGGCGCACGAGGGCGCGCGGTAGGTAGAGGCGCACGAGGGCGTGCGGTAGGTAGAGGCGCACAAGGGCGCTAAGGCGCACAAGGGCGCTCGGTAGTGAGAGGCGCACGAGGGCGCACGAGGGCGCACGAGGGCGCACGATAGGTAGGTAGGTAGGTAGGTAGCGGTGGGCCCTAGGAGCGGTCCTAGCAAAGGACCTGCTCTGATACCATGTCAGAATGAACAGGCAGGAATGATGAACTAGCAAGGATTGTGAGTACAAATATGAAACCCTAATGTTGTGACCCCCCTATAGGCTAACCCACTACAGCCTACACAAATACAACATGTATAATGTTTGACACTTGTCTTTCTCCGTGTACTCGCGTGGAGACGGGTCAAATAGAGTAGGTATGGTAGATGGGCGTGGTAGTTGAACCGAGCGTTGTGTACCACCGTCTTGTCCATACGAGCATTGCTCCACCACCTCCGCGCGGTCACGTCACATAACATCGCTTGACTGCATCCCGTGTCCCGTATGCCCCATGTTTTCTGCAGGTACAGCTTCCATTCTGTGGCGCACGTGGAGGTATGGCGTTGTTGCCCATACGGTGAGATATACTTATTACGGAAACTCCAATGAGATGGGAGTTAGTGGCAAGGCACAGCAGTGGGGGAGCACCAATAGTGTAGGATTTGAATCCCGCACCTTTCATGCCTACTTTTCTGCCACTCCTTCCTCAATCTGCCCTCTCATGTTTCTTTCCGTGCCAAACCCATCACAACACTCCTTTTCATCCACTCCACTCCTGTACGAATCATCCCTCTCACTTGCTTCCCTTTGCATGGTTGGTGGAGGTGCGGTGTGAGAACTCCCCTCTCCTTCGAAGGATGCATCCCTCCCTTGGGACGACTCTCCTCCTCGGGTTAAGTTTCCATCTCCTTCACCTCCAACTTCCGCATGCGTATTTGAAGCATGAGTTTGCTCAGTACGTGGAGTGCTTGCACGTGACTGTCCACGGGTGGATGGGTCTTGAGCTTGATTTGGCATGTTGAACTTGGCTCTCAATGACACCTGGAGTGATGGTGGTGCCCTTGCGATCATGTTCTCCATGTGCTCATGTTGAGCCGTGATGGCCTCTTCAAATGACGTGTATCCTGCTTATACTTCATCATCAAACCGAGTCATGCCGCTGATCCAGAAAGTGCTCGTACCTATGATAACTTGTTGATAACCTTGTCAAATGTAAATTATGGCAGGGTTCTAACCGAATTTCGGCAGCATGCCCCCTAGAGTAGCTCTGATACCATGCTAGAAAAGCATAGTGCCGATGTAGCGGAAGCTTAATTGTAGAATAGAATAGCAAGAGAACCTTGCAACTGAATGGATTTGAGACAATGGATTGCTATAATGGAATGACATAGCATGGTATTTATCTCAGCAGCTAACCCCCTTATGATGGTCCCATCCACACCAATAATTCCCTGCCAATAAATCTTACCCTCCAATAATTCCAGACTCCAAAAATTCTGGCCCTCCAATACTTGTACAATTATTAGAGGGCTAGAGTCTTATAAAGGAGTACTACAGTAAAATCTAACAGCATTTGTATTATCTTACACTTGACTTTTTAATAGTTATGTCCGGGAGAATACAGTGGCACTAATATAGCGAAGCTAGCTAGGCGACGGTCGCGGGGTCGCGAGATGGTTGGGTGCAGGTTCGGGGTTGGGAAACTCGAAGGCAACGCGTCGGTGGTTTGGAGGGTGAGGTTGTCGGACCGAGCCTGTTCTTCGAAAACCGGAGTTGTACGCGTATAGTGTGGCCCAGTAAGGAACCATAGGAAATTCCTTACAAACACGGTCGATGTAACCGATTGTTCTGCTCGTTTCGGATCAGCTCCGTCAGTAGACAGAACTGTACAGTAGGGCGTAAATGCAATGCCCCACGTAGGATCCATCACAACAGGAATCTTTGACAAGCCGAATTCGAACCCAGCACAAAACATGTGCGGCCCTGTTCGATAGGCTAACACCTACGGCCGCGGAATCATCACGGCTGTTTCGATTTTGATTTATTTTAACAGTCAGCCCGGAAATTTGTGTCAATGGGCTTTAACGCTCTTTGACCTGAATGCAGAGTGTTAGCCTGTCGAACGCATCCCACACAAAAAGCCTTAGCCCTCTCAGAAAGAACCAGGATCTTTCTCGCACGGGCAAAGGTTTGGCCCTCGCCTAGCCCAATCCTCGCCCCCCAAAAGTGAGGTTTGCCAAAGGGCTCATGAAGTGTTTGCAGTGGGAGGGATACCCACACCGTGTACAAAAAAAAAAAAAAAAATCCGCCAAACCTAATTGCGATTTATGGTGAAGGCCTATTCTTTTCTTTTCTTTTCTTTTCTTTTTCCAGCGTTGTTACCCAAACCCCTTTAGCGAGCAATCCATTTTTTTTCTTCACAGCCTGCGATGACCCAAGTAGAAGGGGGCGAGCAGCATCGCCTTCAGGACCCCGCTCCTCCCGACCTCTAGGGGCGGGGCTCCGATTGGGTTGGGCGGTCGATCTTTTCGGGGAAGTTGCGCTGAACCTTCCTCTTAACACTAGCCTAACCACCACCTTTTGCAAGGGCCTTGTTTGGTAGGCATCCAGTGGGAGCGGGCCCACTCGCACTGGCGAACCCTTCGTGGGGCTTCCAAGCCTCGGGCCTCAACTCGCATTGAAGGCACCTACACATTTAATTTCGGGAGCTGGCGCGATAACAACGAAGTAGCTATATTCTTGGGAAAACCAATGTATTTTCACCCGTCACTCATACTGTATTACAGGGGGGCACCCTGTAGTGGACCGCAGCTCCGCTCCGACTGGTTTTGCAAGGAGAAGAAATTTCTCCCTCAGCTTCGTCGCGGCCAGTCCCATCATAGTCCGACTAGCAAAACGAGGCGTTCGGTACCCAACTCTAACTGGCTAGGTTCGGTGTTCTACTAACGAGTTCGTGGGATTTAAGGGCGCGTCCCTTCCCTCGATCGATCGCAAGATCGCTGTGAAAAACCGATCGGGCACACCGATCGCAGGATTGGGGCGGGATTGGCAGGAGGTGACACTCGCGGATAGATCTCGAGCCCTGGGTGACAAGATTGAAAATACAAGGGGGAAAAACACTCGATCCTACAAAAGCCGAGATCGGTGTGACCAGGAAGGCACATCTATCGTTATCAACGGGGGTGACAAGATCGTTGAGCACCAGTTACTGTACATTCGCAAGCCGTCTCTAAATCTGGTTACTCTGTCAATTGCGACACTGTATATGTCCCTCGATCTGACTGAAGGCAGGATCGATCGAGGGAGGGGACGCGCCCTAAGCATGTACACATTCGAAATGGGGAACCTACCCTGACCCATCCGCAGTCTGGCGGTCGATCTGAAATTTCGATCGGCCACCGCACTGAAATCCCGTAATTGCTTCCAAACATTAATAGAACCTTCTCTAACCCAGTTAAAATTCTGCGCAGGATCGATCGCCGAAATTTGCAGGAGTTGACGCGTCCTGACTAGGCAGCCTATCGAACAGGGCAGTAAAAACTTGAGACCTCTCATGGGCCATGGCCGTTCTCGTTATTGTAAATGCTTCGCTTATGAGTAGAGTAGAATATGCCCTAATGGCGCCATCAGCATACTCTCGTTGCATGATGATTCGAGCAACGAGTGCTTCGTTTCCTCGCCACTGGCGCTTAACTACTTTGCGACGCCAGCAGCCACGTCACAGCTGTCGCTCATGCAGCTTTTAGGCTTTATCTCACGTTACACCTACGTCATTCTTGCGTCACATTAGCAGAACCAGCTGGCGACTGCTGAGCAAATTCGAAGCTTTCGGCCAAGCTGCTAATAAACTCAGATTTCGTTAGAGTCACCATATTGGAGCTTCTTGGTACACGTTCGCTAGGTGGCATGTTGCTGCCTCGAGATATCCCAATCACAAGTGCGGTTGCTGTGATGGAAGAACAATCTGGACCGTCCGATGCGCGCGCAGTATGTTTGGCAGGTTCGGCTAAACCGCCGCAAATTTACCGTAATGATCGTGTACTGGCACCAGCGTTCTACAGTGCGTCCAGCGATCCTTGTACATCTACGAGATCGACAATAACGAGGTTAAATCCACCGAACACCTTTCCCAGCGGTTGGTGGGCGGTGGGAGAGAGGTCCGAGGAAGAATTGCAAATGCGTGTTTTTCGTTTTTCTCAACTCGTATTCCCAGCGTGGAAGGGAGGCGCTACGCTGATTCGCAGGGAGGCGGTATGGCAACAGGATCTGACGGTGGGGATTTGTCCGAACGAGCCTCCAAGATGGCGGGTTATGAGAATTGTGAGGAGGTTTCGTTTCGTTCCCCTGGTGGTCTTGTTTTCGAACCTCTTAGTGAAGATGAGGAGGAGGGAGAAGAGGGGGGTGGGAGTGAGAGAGAAATTATGGGGGAAGAGATGGTGGTGTGTGAGAATGAAGAGGAGTGGGAAGGGATGCAAAAGAGGGGGAGGGGGGGAGTGAGGGAGATAGAGAGAGAAGATGAGGTGGTGTGTGAGGAAGAGGATTGGGAAAACTCGGAGGGGAGTGTGAGTGGAGGAGATAGTGAGGGAGAAAGTGAGGTAGTGCGTGGGGGGGTGAGGGAGGGGGGGTGGTGGTGTGTGAGGAGGAGTGCGTGGCATGTGAACTGGCAGTGAAGCAAATGAGAGGAGGAAAAGCGTCCACGTGGCACAGGTTCACTGGCTTCTGGTCCTCGAGAAAGAAAGATCCAGATTCCTCTACCGGCCAGATCAGCACAGAAATTGAGCAGGTGACGACAGAAGAGAAAAGTAATGTAGAAGGAGGAGTGGGGAGGCGTGGGAAGGGATTCTTGTGGTGTTTCCGGGGACCCAGGGGAAGGAAGAAAGGGAGAGGGCGAGGGTTACCAGAAGAAATCCCTGAGACCCCTGAGGGACAGGACAGCAGCGCTGAGCCTGTGTCTTGCAGAAGCAGACAAGACCAAGAGTACGCCGGCCCAAATAGCTCAGGCCGGACTGGGGCACCTGGTTTGGGCCAAACCGGGGGAGGCTCGGGGCAGGTGGTGTTTGTGGGGGGCTTGAAACGGGTGGGTGAGTGGGAGAGTCTTGAGACTCCTGGGGAGGGGGAGGATTCGCAGCAGAGGGGTGGGGATGTGAGGGCTGCGGAGGGAGTGGTAGAGGGGTTGGGAGAGGGAGTGGACGAGGGATTGGGGGAGGGATTGGAAGAGGGATTGGCAGAGGGGGTGGGAGAAAGGTTGGAGGAGGGTTTACAGGGGAACTTAATTTCAAGCAGTGGGGTGCTCATGCAGATGTACCCGGAGCTTCCAGGAAGGTGCGAAGCCTTGGCAAGCCCTGCTTGTTCTATCGAGGGCAAGGGAGGGGGAGGGAGTGGAGGAGGTGGTGCTGGTGGTGGTGGTGGTGGTGATGCGACTGGTGCCAGTGTTGCTAATGCTGACGTGGCAGCAAGCAGCGGTGCTGATGCTGCTGACATGGCAGCACGAGGTGCTGCTGCTGCTGATGCTACTCGTGCCAGTGGTGTCGATGCTAATGCTGATGCTTCTGCCACAGAAACAAGAGGTGGTGGTGGTATCACCCCTCTCCCATCCCGGCCCCCACGGCTGCTGGCAGTGCTGAGTGTGGACGGAGGGGGAGTGAGGGACGCCATTCCCACGCAGATATGCGTGCGACTTGAAGCCATGCTGCAGGAGAGATGCGGGGATCCCAACGTGCGACTGGCTGACTTCTTTGACCTCTTTGCTGGTGAGTCAGCCTCCGTTGATCGGTCTGGTAGGACTTTCTGTCTTCCCTTCTTGCATTCCCGTTTTGCCACATCTGCTGCGCTGCGCGCACTTTGAAGCCATGCTGCAGGCAAGGCGCGCGCAGGGATGCTGATATGTGCGGCTGCCACGCGTATTCCTTTGACCGCTTGCTGGAAAGCCAGCGGGCGCTGCGGTGGGCCCCTTCAGGCACCAGGGCGGCGGTCTGCGCATGCTCACAGCACCTCACATGGCAACAGGGCGGTCGGCCATCATGGCACAGAGTATATGGAACTGGGTGTGCAAGTTCCTTCTCTCCTTCCTCTCTTGTTTCCTCCAGGCACCAGTGGTGGTGGTCTGCTCGCTCTCATGCTCACAGCACCTCACAGGGCAACAGGGCGACCGGCCGTCAGGGCTCAGAACAAGGATAACGTGGTGTGAAGTTCCCATTTTTCTTCTTCCTTTCCCTCTCCTCTCTTTTCCTGTCTCTCTTCTTCCCTCCTCTCCAGGCATCAGCGGTGAAGGACTGCGTGCCCTCATGCTCACAGCACCCCACAGGGAATCGGGGCGGCCGGCCATCAGGGCTCCGAACAAGGATAACAATGTGTGCAAGTTTTTGCCCTTTCTCCTTTGTTCCCTGCTTTCCTTCCCTCCAGGCACCAGCGGTGGCGGTCTGCTAGCGCTCATGCTCGCAGCACCCAACGGGGCGACCGGCCATGAGGGCTCAGAGCAAGGATAACAAGGTGTGCAAGTTCCTGTTCCTTCTCCTCGTTCCCTGCTTTTCCGTTCCATGCAGGCACCAGTGGCGGCAGTCTGCTCGCGCTCATGCTCACAGCGCCGCACAGGGCAACGGGGCGGGCTCAGACAGAGTGTAGAGAACAAGGCGTGCAATTTCCTTCTCTCCCGTCTCTCCCTGATTCCTACCTCCCTCCATACCCCCAGGCACCAGTGGCGGTGGTCTCCTAGCGCTCATGCTCACAGCGCCGCACAGGGCAACAGGGCGACCGGCCATCAGGGCTCAGGACGTGGCAGACTTCTGGACACTCCACTCCAAGCACATCTTTAGACGGCGATTCTGGCCGCGATGGGCCGCTACACTCAGGAATATATGGCGGCCCAAATACAAGGTGGGTGGGCTCGTACAAGGCACAAGGGGATCAATGTCGTCGGATCATGACTGGCTTGAGGAGGGGGTTCTGGCCCTGATGGGCTGCCACGACGAGGAACATATGGCGGCCCAAGTACAAGGTGAGCATGCTCTCAAGCTCATCAAACAAGGCAACGCAGCGAGGCGAGCAGCCATGAGGGCTCAGGCAGGACGTGGCTGACTTCTGGAGCTGATGGGCTTTTCTGCTCCTGCTCTGCTACCCTGAGAAACATATGGGGCCTAAATACAAGGTCGGTGAGTCTGCTTATAGCGAGTACAAAGTGAATGCTGCGAGTACAAACATTTTCCATCCGTGGTCCTTGCACCCATCTGCACCACTCTGTACCCCTTCCTCCGGCGTTCGACTTTCCCAATGTTCTCCTCTTCCCCCCCGTCAGGTGGAGGTCCTGGAGCAGCTTCCGCGTCATTTCCTCAGGCAGCACTGTGGGCTCTTCTCAGCCACTTCAACTCAGTGCACCCATCTTCACCACTCTATCCCCCCCCTTCCCGCCCCCCCCCCCCCCAACTCTTGTTCATCTTCCCCCATTCCCCATTGTTCTCAGGTGGAGGTCCTGGAGCAGCTTCTGCGTCATTTCCTCAGGCAGCACTGCAGCATGTCTCATCTACTTCCCTGCACCCATCTATACTGCTCTGTACCCCTCCCTCTCTACTCCATCCCCATGCTCAGGTCAAGGTTCTAGAGCAGCTTCTGCGTCATTTCCTCAGACAGCACTGTGGTGCGGCGGACCTCAGCCTATCAGAGGCTGTCAAGCCCCTCCTGCTTACGTCATATGACATCAGCGCCGCCCGGCCGTACTTCTTTCTCAGCCTGAGGGCTCTGTCTGATTCGAGCCATGACTTCCCTCTTATCCAGGCAAGTTATATGTGATAGCATGGTGTGGGTTGTTGCTGCTGAAGGGCTTGTAAGTATGGGGTTTATGGTATCACCATTGTGAGTCGAACTCTGTCTCTACTCCTCAGCCTGAGGGCTTCGTCCGACTCGAGCCACGACTTCCCGCTCATCCATGCTAGTACATGTTGAATCTGGACAGGGCTTGTGACCCTGTGGTGATTCCAATTTTCAGCCATGATGGGCTGTGTGGGTTGAACTCCGACTGTCTCTCTTCCTCACAGAATGAGGGTTTCCTCTGTCTCGAGCCACAACTTCCCGTTCATCCAATTGACTTCTTGCTGGTTCAGAAAAGGGCCTGTGCTCCTGTGGTGATTCCAGCCATGATGGGCTGTGTGGGTTGAACTCTGTCTCTCCTCCCCACAGACTGAGGGCTTCCTCTGTTTCGAGCCACGACTTCCCGCTCATCCAGTTGAGTTATATGTGATAGCATGGTGTGGGTTGTTGCTGCTACAGGGATTGCGTGGTACTACGGGGACATTAGGCTGTATCATTGAACTCGCCTCTCCTCCTCAGACTGAGGGCTTCTTCCGTCTCGAGCCACGATTTCCTGCTTATCGAGGTGAGTTCTTGTTGAGTCTGGACAGGGCCTGTGGCCCTGTAATTCCAGCTGTCGTTTCTTGTGTGGAACTAGATGGCAAAGCAGCGACCGGAGGAAAAAGGTTTGGAGGAAGGCGGAGGTTGAGGCTGCTTAAAGGAGCTTTCATGCCCGGTCAGTGGTCACTGCCTGATATGACCAGAAAGTGAGTTGTTGTGGTTGCTCTGTCTGCTCCACTGATTGCCACTCGTGCCATTTGTGTCTTTCTAGTTGGCAAACTGTCCATTTGGTTGCTTCCCTGGTCTAACTATGTATTGGTTATGGATGGTTAGTTCCCCCATGTCCAAATTCTCTCCGCGCGCTCGCGTGGTAACAAAGGTGAAGCCCTTAACCCTTAACGTGTGCACGCAGTCTGCGCACCGTGCAGTCATGAAAAATGTGGTGCGCAGAATGGCTATCCACAATGAGGGTGAATAACTTTTGGGGCGCCTCATAAGGTGAGGCCCTCAACCCTGAACGTGGACACCCAGCCTGCGCACCGTGCAGTCATGAAGAATGTGGTGTGCAGACTGGCTATTTACGTAGAGGGTGAAAAACTTCTCCTTCGTCACCACGCAAGTGCGCGGAGAGAACTTGGGCCTGTAGGAACCAACCATCCATAACCAACATGGAGACAGAGCAGAGAAGCAACTAGAACGACAGCTTGCCAGCCTATAATCTCACTCTCCTCTCCTTTACTCCTCCCCCTCTTATCCGTGGTCGGTGTTGTTCTTGGTCCGAGCAGGCGTGCAGAGCAGCGGAGCCACGTCAGCGGCTCCCAGCACATGAATGCAGGGGCATGGTGATCAATAATTCTCTTACTTCTTACCTGTTCCGTCCATGCAGGCATGCAGAGCCACGTCAGAAGCCCCCAGCATCTTCATGCCGGCGCTCATTCAATCGGTGGATGGGCGGAGGGAGATGGTCGGACAATGGGGGCAGGCATGCTGATCAATGCAATGAATCTCTTGCTGCTCCCCATCTCACCCTCTCGGCCCGAGCAGGCGTGCAGAGCCACCTCAGTGGATGGGACGAGGGTGGGCATGCTGATTATTGAATCTCTTGCTGCTCCCTATTATACCCGTTTCCAACAACCAGGCGTGCAGAGCCACGTCAGCAGCTCCCAGCATCTTCATGCCGGCGCTCGTTCAATCGGTGGATGGGAGGAGGGAGATGGTGTGCGTTGATGGGGGCATGGTGGCTAATAACCCTGTGAGTGTGGGGGCATGGAGGCTAGTAACCCTATGAGTGGGTGGGCGTGGGTTTTCAATGGCATTGTATGCTATTGAAATGTATGCTTCTGATGTCTTGTCTTGTTCTCATGGATGGCATGTCTTGTCTTGTTTAGACTGTAGCAGCGTTCCTTCACATAGTCGCCAACCCATCCACCTTCAAACCTCCCGGAGAAAACAACGAGAACGGTGCAAGCAACGGTGCGAGCAACAGTGCGAGCATCAAGGGAAGCAACAACACAAGCAATGCCGCAAGCAACGGTGCAGGCAGTACCGACGTTGGTGAAACGAGAGGTGGGGGGATCAATGCATCATCGGCAGCACCTGGTGCTGCAGCTCATGCGTCGTCGTCTGCACCTGTTGCTGCTGCAGATAGCCTTTCACAGGCAGCGGCAGGGCGTGGAGAAATCTCACCTTCAGCAGCAATGGCTGGTGCTGCATCTGCTGATGCGAGCTGCTTGTTAGCTGGAGACATGGAGGAGGGAGCAGAGGTGGGGGCAAGCCCGCTGCTTAATACTGCTTTGGAGGGGATTACAGAGGGGAAGGAAGCAGCAGTGGAGGGGGGGGGAGGGAAAGCAGGAGCAGAGAGAGTGGGAGGGGAAGGAGGAGCAGGGAGCAGGGGAGGGGCGGGGGGAAGGCGAGGAGGGGGGAAAGAAGGAGGAGGAGGAGGAGCGGAAGGAGGGGAGGGAGGACTCGCGGAGAGTAGGAGAGGGGAAGGAGGGGAAGGAGGGGAAGGAGGAGCAAGAATCGGGGGAGGGGTTGCAGTGGGCAGCAGTGAGGTGTGTGAGGAGCCTCTACCTCGACCCCGGTTGACATTCCGAGATGTGGTGGTGCTGTCGCTGGGAGCAGGCGAGCACATGCGGCGATACTCCGTTGACGACGTCAAGAAGTGAGTGATTGTGAGGGTGCGAGGGTGGTGTTTGTGCGACACAGGGAGGTTGGCAATGGTGGATGCGATGTGATGTGATGTGATGTGATGTGATGATGTGATGTGGTGTGATGTGGTGTGATGTGATGTGAAGTGGTGTGATGTGAAGTGGTGTGATGTGATGTGATGTGATGTGATGTGATGTGATGTGATGTGGTGTGATGTGATGTGGTGTGATGTGATGTGATGTGATGTGATGTGATGTGATGCTGTGGGGCAGGTACCCAGTCACTTACACTCTGCTCTGCACACGCTCAGTACCCTCACTGCTACACACATACCACTCCTGCTCTCCTCGTGTGTGCACCCGTGCCTTGAATTACTCCATTGCCACCCCAGGTGGGGACTCATCGGGTGGGCAGAGCCGATGGTGGATGTGATGGTGTGGGCGGGTTACCAAGTCACTTGCATTCTGCTATGTACTGTCACAGATGCACGTACCACTGATGCCTTCCTGTGTGCACCCACCCATGCCTTGTATGCGCAGGTGGGGCCTCATTGGATGGGCGGAGCCAATGGTGGATGTGATGGTGTGGGGTGGAGGCAACATGGTGCATGCTCAGATGTGCCTCCTTGCCCTGGCGGATGGTGCAATAGACAACTACACACGCATTGAGGTGAGTGTGGCGTGAGATGAGTGGGTGTGGCACTGGGGTTGTGTGGCTACTGGTGCCATACATGTTCCTCACGAGGCAACATGGTGCATGCGCAGATGTGCCTTCTTGCTCTGGCGGATGGCGCAATCTACAACTACACACGCATTGAGGTGAGTGGGGTGAGGTGAGCAGTGAGCAGCGAGCAGTGAGCAGCGAACAGTGGAGTGGGAAGCTCATTTGAGGCGCCCCACAGGGCAGCATGGGTGCATGCGGGAATCGCACGGCATGTCCTGCCAGTTGGGTGTTCCCAACAACATGGGAGGTGTGCCAGCTGGTTGGCGTTTTCCCAGTCTTTGTAGTACCCTGTCTTCATATGTATGTGCTCATCTCGTTCTCTCTCCCCGCTCCAACCACAACACACCCACACGTACACGCATCCATCCACCATCCCGCCGTCAGGTGCAATCCCTGCCGTCCATCTCAACCAGGATGGACAACGCATCACGGAGGAACATCCAGCTGCTGCAGCGAGTGGCAGAGGACGCTCTTAAAGCCCACGGCAACGTCATCCCCTCACTAGCGGGGGAGGTCTGCCAGCTGGCGCGCACCAATGAGGAGCGGCTCGCTGCGCTGGCGGATAGGCTGGTGGCGGAGTACAGGTGGCGGCGTGGAATTGGTGGCTGAGCCATGTACTTGAGTTGCCCCTGTTGAACAGCGTAGTAAATGCTGCACATGTGGTGAAAGTTTTAAGTCGTATATTGGAGCAAAGAGTGCAGCCTGCGCTTGTAATGCAACTTCTTAAAACGAGAGTGCAAAATAGTGAACCCCGACCCACCTTGAAAAAGTGGTGCGACGAGTTTCTCGTAGAGAAAGGGATCGGGCTGACACACCACGGTCCAAACAATTTCACTAGGCAACGTGAACTTACGTGATTGGCCCTCGAAACGGTGGTTCCCGCCAAAATATTTTTTTTATGCAGATCTACTCCGTCGCACGTCCACGTGTTGCGCCTGTGCGACTGTTCCCCAGCGTAGGTTTCCATCGTTGGCCCAAGGTCGGCTTCAAGTTGGAACTGGGTTCACAACTAGCTGCTCTCCAATCCCGAAGTCACTAGTTTTATTTTCCTAGCATAGTTTGCTGAGAAGCAAGCTGTTTGTGGCCAAGGTACCTAACTATCGACATAGTTGGAATGCGTAATGTAGTTACGTAGCTTCGTATCGTATTTTTATTTCCCCTCTCTCGCCATCGTCACCCTCCTCTTCATCGTCGGCCCCTCTCGTTCACCCCTCGACGTCCGTTTCTACCGCCGCTCATCACGGTACTCCCTTCCAATCACCCACATCGCCGCCCTCGCGCTTGCCATGACATGCCCTCCCGTCGACCTACCTTTCTCCCATCCCATCACCCATCTCGTCGCCCTTGCGCTCTCTCTGAAATGCCCTTTCGCCGCTCATGATCCGTCCCTTCCCTTCTCGTCGCTCCGCTCTTTCCCCTCCCTTCCCGTCGCCCTCACTCTCTCCCCTCCCTTTTCGACGTTCTCGCTCTCGCCCTCCCTTCTTTTTGTTCTCGGTCTATCCCCTCCCTACTCGTCGCTCTCGCTCTCTCCCCTCCCTTTCCGTCGATCTCGCTCTCTCCCCTCCCTTGCAATCGCCATCTTACCTCCCGTCCCATCGCCCTTGATGTTCCTTCTTAATCATTAGATGATAATAACTTACCTAGCAAATAGATGTTCTCTTTCAAAAAATATTTCCCCCCCCTTCCCGTCGCCCTCGCTCGCTCCTCTTCCTTCCCCTCTCCTTTGCGCGCTCCCCCGTACCTTCCCGTCGCCATCGCTCTCTTCTCTCCCGCCCCATGTCCTTCGTTCTCTTCCCTCCCTTCCCGTCGACATCGCTCTCTCCTCTCCCGCCCCATGTCCTTCGTTCTCTTCCCTCCCTTCCCGTCGCCATCGCTCTCTTCTCTCCCGCCCCTTGTCCTTCGTTCTCTTCCCTCCCTTCCCGTCGCAATCGCTCTCTCCTCTCCCGCCCCATGTCCTTCGTTCTCTTCCCTCCCTTCCCGTCGCAATCGCTCTCTCCTCTCCCGCCCCATGTCCTTCGTTCTCTTCCCTCCCTTCCCGTCGCAATCGCTCTCTCCTCTCCCGCCCCATGTCCTTCGTTCTCTTCCCTCCCTTCCCGTCGCCATCGCTCTCTTCTCTCCCGCCCCATGTCCTTTGTTCTCTTCCCTCCCTTCCCGTCGCCATCGCTCTCTCCTCTCCCGCCCCATTTCCTTCGCGCTCTCCCCTCCCTTCCCGTTGCTGTCGCTCTCTCGTCCCCCACCCAATCTCCCCTCCCATCGGCCAATCCGTCACACTCGCGCTCGCTCTGACCCGCCCTCCCCGCGCCGTTCGTATATCCCCTCGAATCACCCACCTCGCCGTCCTTGCGTTCGCCCCGAAATGCCTGCCCGTCGCCTTTCGTAATTCTCTTCCCATCGTCGCTCTCGCGCTCTCCTCGAACTGCCCTCCCGTCGCACTTATCTCCCCTCCGATCACCCATCTCATCGCCCTCGCGCTATTCCTCACGTCTCCCTCCCATCACCCTACCATTCCGTGATTTTGCGCACTCATTTCTCTCTCCGCGTCCTTGTTTCCGTCGCCCCATCTCTCTCTCTTATCTCGTCACCTTGAATCTCTTTGTTATTTTCCTCTTTGGTTTTCTATGTTGTGATCGCAGGCTTAGCAGGCCCATGCCAAAAGCATTTGCTGTGCGTGAATTGCTCATGCTGCACTTGTTGAAATTGGCACGGCATGTGCATGTGATTTGCACGTCGCAAACTTGCGACACAATTGCATATGCTTGCGATGATTGATGAAATTTTGTGAAAGACTCGATTAGTGTTTCTCGCGTCTGAACAAAAATTACGGAACAACACTTCCAACTTCCCAAAGTGAGTACGAGATTTCAAGTGGACCCAACTAGAAGGGGGGGTCACTATTTTAGCTGCTGGCTTTAAGCCGCTGATCACTCACCAGCCATCCACCTGGTTTGTTGTCTAGCCTCCCCTGATCACTCACGAACGTGTTCGTGTTCGCCCCTGCACGAACACCGCCGTTCGGCGAACCGAACACTGTTCGATTCGCCGAATAGCTTTAGCAAAAAAGGGTGTTCGCCATTCGCCAGTGAAGGCGAACACCTTGTTGACGCAGGCGAATACGAACGTGTTCGTGGCAAACACGTTCGTGTTCGCCCCGGGACTACATTCACTAAAGTCACACGTTTGTGGATTGTCATTGTTGACATTTGTTAGGTGGCTGTAAGGTCCAAACAGAGTAAAATTAAAATCGTTGCACATTCCCTCCCACCACCCCCCAAGCCAGTCCCTCCCTGCTTCATCCATGCTAGTGCCAGCGTGTGACGGCGAAATGCTAGATCTGCACTTAAGCAACGGCGAAATGCTTGATCTGCACTTAAGCAACGGCGAAATGCTCGATCTGCACTTAAGTACCGTAAGCCCCCGGATAGAAGCGCAGGCCTCGGATAAGCGCCGGTGCTTATAAAAGGATGAGGGCGCTTATATCCGGTCCTCGATTATAAGCGCACCCCTTAAAAAATTCTGATTTATTATAAGCGCATGTCTATTTTTTAATCTGAAAATCAGTCGAAACGCAGAAACGAATTTCTCTTTACCAGGGAATCGAAGTACAGGTCCACTTTCCCACTCACATCACACTTGCTGCGCGTCTAGTCAGCACTTGCTGTCGCTTAGTCAGCATGTGTTGGCAGGGAATACATCCCTGCTACCGTAAGTTGCGCGAGAATCAGATTCGCGACCCCAGATATATTCGACTCGATTACAATTGGCAGAACAAGGTGTACAGATTGGTGTAAAACAAATATAAACTTGCTTTGCCATTTTATAAGCGCCGGCTCTTATAAAATTCCTCAATTATAAGCGCACCCCCTAAAAAACAGTGTTTTTTTATACCCCCAGGGGCGCTTCTATCCGGGGGCTGACGGTAATGGCGAAATGCCAAATCTGAGCCCAAACACCAAGGCCCGCGACCTAAAAATTGGTCGCGGGCCTATTCGTCGACGAACACGTTGGTGTTTGTCGAAGGCCCTTCTCGAACACAATCACGTTGGTGTTCGACGCGCCTCGGCCAGCTGAGCCGGGCGAACGGCAAACGTGTTCGGGCGAACACCTAACACGTTCGCCCCGAACAATTTAGGCTAAAAAAGAATCCGGTTCGTTCGAGGCGAACCGAACAGGAGCTCGTTATAATTGCTCATCCCTAGTCTCCTCCCCCACCCACCCACCTGCTCGGCAACCATGCTGCTGCCAGAGTCTGCTCTGAATCCACATGTCCTGCTCTCCAGCCAACCCCAAGTCTCCTCCAGCCCTCCAACCACCCCACAGTCTCCTGCCCTGCAGCCACCCACCTGCTCTGCAACCAGGCCGTTGCCAAAACCTGATTAGATCCTGGCCTTGCCTGGCACTGGATAGCCTCTTTTTGTTATGGGTGGGGCTGTGGACAGGCAGACGAAGCCTTGCACCCATCAATGAACGAGCGAAATCTTTGATTGCTGTGAGTGGGGCTACGTTATAGAGAGTGGTTGGTGTCAGAATATTGTGCTGCTGCTAGTTTCTGACATGGTATCAGAGTAGGTCCTGTTCCAGGACCGTTCTCGTTAGGGCCCACCGATCGTACCGTGCCCGTCGCGCTGCCCCACCACACGCGCATGCCCTGCCCTGCCCTGCGTTGCGCCGCCCCGCGCACGCCCTGCCCTGCCTTGCGTTGCGTCGCGCTGCCCGCGCACGCCCTGCCCGCGTCGTGCCGCCCGTGCGCGCCCTGCCCTACGTCGCGTCGCCCTGCATGTGCCCTGCCTGCGTCGCGCCGCGCGGGTACGCCCTACCCTGCCCGTCGCGCCGCCCGCGCACGCCTTGCCCCGTGTCGCGCTGCCCGCACCCGCCTTCCCCTGCGTCGCGCCGCCCACGCGCGCCCTGCCCTGCGTCGCGCAGCCCGCGCACGCCCTGCCTTGCCCGTGCGCCGCCCTGCTGGCAGCGCGCGACCCGTTTTCTGGCCGCGCGCTGCCCTGCCAGCCGCACGCCGCCCCTGCCTGCCCGCGCGTAGCCCTGTGCAGACCCGCGCGCCGCCTCCCTTGCCGCGCGCCACTCCTGCTTGCCTGCGCGCCGCCCTCTTGCATCCTGCGTGCCGCCCTTGCCCACCCGCGCGCCGCCCTTTACAGCCCGCGCGCCGCTCTGCCCTGTCTGTGCACTGCCCTGCCCTGCCCTACGCGCCACCCTGTCTGCTAGCTATGGCTACGCTCAGCGTTCTCGAGTTCGATCCTGAGGGCCGTCCCATCCAGTGCTGTTCTTACTGAGAGATTCTAAAGACAGCGTTTCATTGTTTGACCACACGTCTGGAGCCTCTCTCGCCCCTCCCGACACAGCTGACAGTGCTACTCGCTCACAGTGGCTTACACGTGATGCTGCCACTCGCCTAGCCGTTCACAACCACATACTATTAGCCGAACGCGCTCACTTTGGCAAGCACAAGAATGCTAAGGCTCTGTACGACGCTGTAGTCGCTCGTTACTCCTCCCCTGCCACTGCTGCTCTCGGCCGCCTTATACTGCCCTACCTCTTTCCCGAGCTGTCCTCCTTTGCCACAGTCGCGGACCTCATCACCCACCTTCACACTAGCGACACTTGCTACCGCGCTGCGCTTAAAGCCGAGTTCCTAGACAAGAAATTGCCCCCGATGTACATCACTCTCTCTATTTCATCGTCACCCGCCTCCCTGACTCTCTTCGTGCTGTCAGGGACCACTTTCTCGCCCTTGACCCCACAGACCTTACTGTCGACCTGCTTGAGGAGTGTTAAAATCTAGAAGCAGGAATGAATGCATTGAATGAGAGTTGGGTACAAGTATCTAACCCTAAAGGGGTTGTACCCCATGTTGGCTACCCCACTACAGCCTACACAAATATAGCATGCATATAGTTTGACACACCCCCATAGGCAAAGTGGGGGAGAACAAGGGGTCACAAGACCAGTCAAGAAAAGCAACGCAAGCTCAGGGTGGATCACAACGTCACCACACGCACTGAGCACAAGCAAAGGGCCACAAGGCCAGTTCACATGCAGAGACATATATGCAACAACAACAGTACAATGATCACTACCTAAAAAGAGCAAACATGCAGGTATATATATATATATATATATATCACAGTACAAGCAGAGTCTACAGCAAGTGTGGAAACGTAGGCACAAGGCCTAACAGGGTACAAAAGCGCTGATGGTCACCAGACGGAAGTGCCTTGGTGAATATATCAGCAGTGTTGGCCTGAGTGGCCACGTGAGCAAGACGAAGCTGACCACGCTGCTGCAACTCTCGAGCTAGGAAGTAACGCAGAGCGATGTGCTTCGTTCTGTGCTCCAGTCTGTGCTCCTCACACAAGGCAATGGCGGCCTTGTTGTCAACGTACAGAACTGGAGGAGAACGAGGCCTCTCTCCCAAGTCAGTCAGCAGGTAGGTAAGCCAGCGTAACTCCTGTGCAGCCATGGCTGTGGCGTAGATCTCAGCCTCACAACTGGAGCCGAGAACAGAAGAGGAGCGAGTAGACCGCCAAGAAACAGAGCCAGAGCCAAGGCTGAACGTGTAACCCTGTGACGACCGCTGCGTAGCTTGGTCGTCAACCCAAGAAGCGTCTGAGTGCCCAGTGAGGACAACTGGACTCCGCCCTCTAAGCACGAGCCCCATGCCCGATGTACTGCACAAGTAGCACAGTACCCTCTTTGCAGCATCCATGTGCACCTTTCGGTGCCGACCAGGAGCCACGTAGCGAGCCAGAAGGCCAAGAGGGTACGCAAGGTCAGGACGAGTGCAGGTCATCAGGTACATGAGGCAGCCCACTAGCTCTGGGTAAGGACCACTCGGCTCTACGGACTCGTCCGAAGGTGGAGCTGAGAGCAAGTGAAATGAAGCTAGAGGAGTGGACTGTGGCGAGGACCAGGTGAAGCCGAAGCGCTGAAGGACCTGCTGCACCATGTGTGACTGAGTCAGTGTGATGGTGCGGCGTGCTCGGTCCCGGGTGATCTGCAAGCCAAGGTAACTGCGCAGCTCACCCAGGTCTGTGCACGTGTGTCTCTTATGCAGCTCCGACTTCACCAGGGCGAGAGCCTCAGTGTCAGTAGTGGCAAAGACCAAGTCGTCGACGTACACGAGGATGTAGAACGACGGCAGCGAAGTGTCGGTGCGCAGAAATAGCGACGGGTCAGCTGTCGAAGAAGTGCCGCAAGCGTCGTCCTCAGTGTGTCGTGCCACTCACGCGGCGCCTGGCGGAGACCGTAGACTGGCCGCCGGAGGCTCCACTGGGTAC